TCAAGAACCAGGAAATTTGGGAGGCTGAAACCTTAAGGGGATGTTCGAGAACCAGTACGTCACAAACTCTAGCTACTGGGATTCCAAGCGATCTTACTACAGCACAAAATACTGCAAAAACGTATGATCGCACGGGCCCGTCAGGTGCGCGTCGCCAATGAATTATTTTATTTGCTAACTTATCCTCCGTTATCGCTGACGATATGAATTGAACATTAACAACGAAGGAATATTTCTCGATCAAACGAAACGATATTTTGAGGAAAGTAGCCGAACCTTGGTGGATGGTTTAGCATACTTGGCAAGCGCCATTCCTTGTGATTTAAAAATTTTAACATTTGCAGCAAGCAGATCTTTGCGTTCCATGCCCTGTTTCCGTGGCATAGCACCGATGAGAAATGCGTAATCCAAATCCTTGAAGGCTTCCTCCTCGTTCGTTGTTACAATTACATCTGCAAATCAAACATTCCTGTAACACTCATCCAATTTCACTCTTGTCTAGAAATTGTACAAATGAGCTTTATTGGGCGAGAAGATTTCTGGCTCTCTTCCACGTCGTCCGACAGCACCACAGAATAACTTAGTGAACAAGAAGAAATATAAACAAATGCATAATAAAAGTGGAAATCACGAAGATTAAATTCCTGAATGGGAATATTCCTATCCATTCAAGGGCAGATCCAGAGTAGCATCCTGGCGGAGTAGTAGGTCTAACGATGGGACTATGATATGCGACGGCGGGGGGAGGGGGGACGACCCGGGGAGTGCAGAAGAGAGTTTTCTGCAGTTTTAGCACTGTTACTTGTGCTGCTGGAGGGGAGGGGGAGAAACCCATCGTCTCCTCCCCCCCACTCCAGGACCCACCTATGAATCCACTAAAACATATACATTCGCATTCAACACCACAAGTATATCCCGTCAGTACGTATATAAGCCCTTTGCCCAAAAACATCCGCACCCCATCGCTTGGCCTATTATTTCCAACCTTTTTAGCATTGGCGTGCAGCAGTGCAACATGCATCAAGCTCATGCTGGCCTGCAAGTCTCTTGCTGCACGTGTACTACGTGACAACGGCGCTGGCATTTTATTCTGCTGATTGGTGGCACAGGTAAAGAATAAATAGCAAGGCACACCAGACTAGCCGGTGCGATCATGCGTTTTGCGCAATTCAGCCCATCGAACGATTGCCTATTAAT